AAGAGAATTTAGCTGAGTGTGTTGCATGTGCTCAGAGCCGTGGATCAGGAATCATCGACAGGGAGGTCTCAGGGTGAGCCTTAGCTGAACTTCACCATCAGTGGAATGTCAACCAAGGAACGATGCCAGTTTCTGTCCCATTGCTGGAGCCCACCTTCATGGCTGTGTAGCCTGTCTTCTGCCAAAGCTGGATTGGCATGCGGTCATGTCCCAAAGATTCTATCTGGCCTAAAATATCCTGTGATTCTTTCCATTTGAGATACAACTTCATGTAAGACTTTCTATCTCCGTTGTCAGGTTGTAGTTAGCTTAATTACGGTCCTATACATTTTTTGATACTTTTTTAAGCCAGTATTTTCATTTGGATGACATATGATTATTTTTCAGATTAATTTGAGATACTTGGAGAGTACAGTTTCGAGGTCCTTAATGTGGCAATTTTATCTTTATTTATATACTTGGTCAGTCCTATTGCAGTACTTGAGTTCTTGAGATGTCTCGTAAGTTTTTTCAAGCACTTAGATCTGTTCAAATAGTATTTCATGAACATTTTGCCCCATGCAGAAGTTCACTTTAAAGCAGCAGATTAATTTTATATGGAATGGCAGAATGGTGTTATTATAAGTCAAATGTGTGGAAAAGTATTTGTACTAGATCTTGACTGTTTTTGAAATGACCATTAGTTTTGAGACACCCTGGGAAATTTCAGGCATTCTGGTAAGAAAGACTCAGCAGCTGCAGGTTAGAGTGTAGTCTTTGAAAATAAATTCAGAAAATTAGAATTTCTCAAGGTGTCTTTTAAAAATATTTATATAATTTTCTCCTTAAGCCCTCCTACTATGATACCTCTTTTTTCAGGTGAAGCTGGGGCTGTGAATAAGTTGGGCCTTACCTCACTGTTGCGTGGCTTGTGTACTTTGGACTATCCTAAATTCATTCTGCCTGCCAGTCAGATTCTCTTGGTGTAAAAAACCTGAGTTTACCTTATAAAACTGTAATTGTCTCATGCACACTTGCTTTTTACTTTGCAGTCAATATAAGGTTAATAATCTCTGATTCAGAGCTGCAGATGATGAATAAATGTATAAAGCAGAGATGTCTTGTTCCCTTACACACTCATCGAAGTGTGAAACATGAAAGGGAGTGTGGAAGACAAGTTTGTTCTGCTCTGTAGGTTCCAAACACTTTCCATTTTATGTCTGCTGTGTTATTATATTTGGAAATGTGCAGTAAATTCTGGGGTTTTTTTTCAATTTTTGATCTATTCTGGTTTTGTGCAGGTCTTGGAGAGAGGGCTTTATCTGGGGTTTTCTTTCTTTGTGATTTTGGGTTTTTTTGGTAAACATAGTTGGAGAGATCTTTTAGTCTTTTATTTTTTTGTTACTGTTTGCATAGGTTACAAAGGGAATTGCAGAAAAGGTTCTGCTCTTGTACTTTGCGAATGATGGTCTTGCCAAAGTCATTAAGCTGGGTTAGGCTGTTGTGCTGTGTTCTCCAGAAGACCAACTGAAAACTGGATGAAGATTGTACTGTTATGTTTTGTCAGGACACAGCATCAGTGGTCTGTGATGTACACTAACTAGCAGCTGGTTTCTGGATGAAATCTGATACGTTATTTTGATTTAGCAATCTCTATTATTGGGATCCTCGTTTCACAAAAAGTTTTTCTCCTCACCTCCTCTAATATGTTAAGTCAATATTACTTGACTTAATTTATTACCAGCTTTTATTTCCACTGTATAAATGGAAAGAATGTAATTTTTTGGAAATATGGGGCTAGGGGTATTTTAGTGTGCTTCCCACTGTGGTTCACCAAAGCCTGAATGTGATGACTCTGCAGGGCCAGTTTGCAAAACCTCTCTCAAGTGCTGCTAGAGTGGAACTGATTCTGAGGGTGGGAAGCAGCAAGGTCATCTTTAGATTCCTTTTGCTTTGTTAAGCCTGTGTTAACAGATTTATAGTGCTCTCTCCGTGCTGCCAGTTTGTGTGCAGGGAGGCGAGGGAGGCCCAAGTCAGGTTTGTCACGTGAGGGCATTGCAAGCAGCAGGTGTGAGCAGCAGCAGCGCTTCCCTGGGATCCCTGGGACCACGGACACTGGGAATCCTGCAGGGAACAAGCTCTCCTATTGCTTCTGCCTCCAGCCTCCCTGTGGAAAAGGAGCCTCCTGTGACTGAGGATGCACAGGACCTGTGGGACAGACTCCATACAATCATGGAAAGATACCTGTTTTTACTGCATCTTCCTTCTTAGGAAGGAATGTTCTTTCATGCAGCTTATTTTCTTTGGAGTGCACATATTTAATGAATTTATTTATTTTCTCTACATTAGAAAAACCTTTTTTCTTTTAAGATAATTTTTGAGTAATTTTTCATCTTTCCTAAGTATAACTTCAATTAAAAATGTGTTTGTGAACCTAGGCTTGATCTGAAAAAGTATGAAAATTTAATTCATCTGGACTGATAGTGATGACTGATACTTTCTGGTATTTCTTAATTTTAGTTTTATCTATGAAAGGGTTTCCTTTTGTATTCAACTGGGAAACTAGGATTGCTTTAGTAAGCATGTAATGTTGGAAAACTGCTACACACCTGCAAAAATATATAATTGTTTTGAAACTTTAATTTTTTTCCATACTGTTATTTAAAGTGCAAAGTTTTAATTTCTTTGTGCTTTTTATGGATATGAAAATAATTCTGGGAACCTTATCTTGTATAACATGCATATTTGTATTAGTTTTAAAAAATAATTCAAAAATTATGAGTATCAAGTCACCATGTATACCTAATGGATTAGTCTATTGCTGTTAAAATTATATTGACACTTATTAGATTGCTTTCTGGATTGCTTCACATATTTAAAACATTCTTCCGGTTATGTGCACCTATGAGTATGTATTTTAAAGAAGCCTCAATATAGTTTATTTAAACTTATACTGACAGAGGTGATAAAGCTGCAGACACATAAGAATGGGGTGGAGAAGATAAGAAACAACATCTTTGATCAGTCAGTGCTCAGTAAAGAAAAAAAATAAGTCAATTAACTGAGGCACTGGGATAAAGTATATTCAAAGGAAGGGTCAGGACCTTGAGAAGAATAAAAAATATTAGCTGGGTTTGTTGGGCTGGAAAAGGTATGACACTGTATTAGTTTTGGTACATTTGAAATTTTTAATTTTTTGCATGCTAACATCTAATATATTTAAGGATTTTTTTTTTTCCCTGCCTAGTTTGATAGAATCACATTGTCAGTTGTGACATTCTCCACTTTCCCAGTCTCACTAAAAAACAAGAGGTCTGTCATGTCAGCATTTAACCCTTTACAATTCTTCACTTCTGTGCAAGTTCCAAGTAAAGTAAAAAGGTTATTTAAGTAAGTGTTCAAAATTAGCTGATATATAAGTCTTGACATTTAAACATTGGGTTTAAAAAATGAAGTTTTCCTAAATGATGCCACTAGCAGTTTCTGCTAACTTGGTAAAGCCTTATGTTCCTCTAATAACTGGTATATTTTCATTGAAAAGCTTTAAATTAATATCATATTTGGGGGCAGAAATTATATATATATAAAGTCTTTAGGAGATGGCAGAGAGGAAATATGAGTGTATCCAGGTACCTTTGGCTGGCAGAAAGCAGTTGGGAGGTACTGCAGAAGGAGATGTTAGGGAACTTATGTTAGATGAGATATTAGAGTATGCCTAAAGAAATCAGAAAGCTGTTAGGGAGTACAGGTTTGGAGCAGGAAGGTGTGGTTGGTGCCAGATGCCTCAGTTCATCAAAGCAAAGCAAGTTTTGCTGTGCTCAAGAAGGGTCTAAGGCAAAATTAGGTATGTAGGAAGAAATCTGAAAGAGTCTTCTAGGTTCAAAACCAGGATATGTTTATTTGAGAAAATACTGAGACTCTGGAGAGATAAAAGCCACCTGTTTACTAATCAGCAATTAAAGCATGCATGTAAGTGGATAATTAATATTAAGAGTAGGATTCTTCATGCTTTGGCTTGTCTGGTGGTGTCACACCCCATGGTATTTGTCTCCTGGACAATTTTTAGCACAGACTCTTACTGGAAAGCATGTTTTGCAAGAACTGTTTGCCTTCCAGGGGCAATCCCAGAGTTCACTGGTGATTCCCTAGGCAATTTCACATCCTCTCAGCTTTGCCTAGCACACCTGCAGCAGCTACCCATAATAACCTCTTACGAGGTTCAGTGCATGTGAATACATTGTCATTTGCAGATAGATCTGTTTGGTTTTCACCTGCACATCCTCCTGCACATGCTGGTCATGTGCATGTCTAGTACACATGTGGTAACATCTGTGTCACTGGAACAAAAATTTTTAGGGAACAATTTTCAATACGCTTTTTTTTTGTTGTGCTAAAACAGCTTCTTAATTTTTCTGAAAGTGGTATTGTAATGAGAAAAGGCACATTTTTGTGCAGTATTAGATCTTGACAAGTGAAGGGAAGCTTTCATCTCTGATTTGACAGTAACACTTGAAAACAGCTTGGTTAATAATTTAGGTGTATATAATATAATAATTTAAGTTAATAATTAAACTAATTCAGGTGCAATCATAAGTGATTTTTTGACTCAGATTCTCAACCTAGCTGCTGATATCTCAGTTGTACTGAAACCTTTGGATGGGAGCAGTTACACAAAATAGTGCTGGTTTCTTTTTGGTATTTCTTTTTATTGTTAAAAATTTGGTTAATTTATCAGATAGCTTTTTTATTTTTCAAGGTACAATGCCCAATAACTTCAGGCTGATTTATGAGAAATTGCCCTATTACTAATTATACTATTAGTGTCTTACTAATTCTGCAACTTTCCAACTAAGAGAGAGGGCAGTAGATAATTTTTTTTTTGCCTATCGGTTGTTTTCAAACAAACAAGACTTCTTTCTTACAACGTGAAGCAGCGGATGAAGCTTGACTTCCCTGAAAGAACTATGCTTGTTTTTTTTTTGTTTTGTTTTTTTGTTTGGTTTATTTTTTGCTATCAACAGGCCCAGCTCTGATAACAGGCGCCACGGCATCCGGGAGAGGATGTCCAGTACCACGGAGAAGGGGAGCCTGTCCATGGAGTCCACCAAGGAAACCCGGTACTGCGCCGTCTGCAACGACTACGCCTCTGGCTACCACTACGGGGTCTGGTCCTGCGAGGGCTGCAAAGCCTTCTTCAAAAGGAGTATTCAAGGTAATGAGCTGCTCAAGCCACCTTTACCCTTTTAGACCTTTTAGTCTCGAGGAAACTGAAGACACTTGTGATTCCAGCCTGACCCCGGGACAATGACATTTACTGGGTTTTCATTAGCAGTTGTTGTGCTCTCCAACACAGTTTTAGCTCTGTACTTGATGAATGCTTTTAGCAGGTATAAAATATTTTATTATTAATCCAACATTAATGAGGAAAAGCAAAGCTTCTCTATATCATCTTTGCTTTAGTATATCTGACCCTGGTGGTAGTGAGAAATTGAATTTAAAAATCCATGTTGGATCAAGATGATCACATTTTCAGGCTAAGCATATCTCTCCTCTTATCCAAGGCACTTTTTTGAGAATTCCCTGTCAGATAATTAATTCATGCTGATTGATTTATTAATCTTAATTTAGTGCTCCATTAGCCAGATGGTTCAGTCAAAATCTCAATTCCTTAAAGATGCTAGATGTCTTTTGAGAGCCAGTATTGAAAAAGAATATTTCCTTGATGAAATATTATTTGTGTCTGTCAACAAAGCAGAGTTTTCAACTGTACACAGAATGCTTTAGTTCACAGTCTTGTTGTGGTTAAAAAGGCTAGTGGAATAAAGGGCATCTAATAAAAACACTGTTAATTACTGTGACAGAGATAATTCTTTATTTAACTGCCTGTTACTTTGTGGAATGGATGCTGCTTTTTAAAATTTGTTTTTATTTTTTTTTTCTTTGTTCAATATCTCTTAAAATTACTAAGAAGTAATTATAATTCTACTGAAAATACAGGTACTGTTCAGTATCTAAGTTTTTAGAGAAGAAAATAAAATAGATTTCTTCCATTTAAACAGAAAAAAGGTAAAGTGCTGTGCATTATTTAGTTTACTATAGGTTTTTAAATCCCCAGGTGATACATAGCCACAAAAATTTCTGTGGCCTCTTTTACATAAAGTAAACATAGTGTGGAACAATTTTACATCACATCACAAGGTGTGATTATTGCCTGCTTTATTGTATGACTACCACAGAGGTGAGTTAAATAGGACTTACAGCATTCAGATCAGAAATTTTTCCCCCCCGAAGAATGAGGTAGACATTGATGGAATTATTTGAATGACAATGATTAGTTAATAGTTACTCATATTTTTGTTTGTCCAGACACACTGAAATGATTTTTAAAAGAGTGAGTGGTTAGAGCCCAGAGGTCAGTAATAAACAACACTGAAGGGAGAAAGGGTGAAAGGCTTTTTTTCTTCACGACAGAGTAATTTACTTTAACTTGCAATGTCAGGAGAACAGCTCCCTTATTGTGTATTTGTTATTTTTCCTTTTCAGTTCCTCTGACCAAATCAGAATTATTTTTAGGCTTTTGAAATTATGTCCTTGTGCTTGAACTGAACTAAGTCACAACAAAGTGGAAATTGAAATAGCCTAAAGCAAAAGTGAGAGTTATCAAGTAACTGTCAAGCAAAGGTCTTCAGCGTTTGGCCGCTGTGGAAGAAAAAATGAATGCATTTCATTAAACTTCTGCTGTCAGCACTTGGTGGTTTTACCCTGGTCTCCACATAGACAAATGGTGTGGTCCACCACACTGGATCTGTTTTCTATTTGTGCTGCACTAAAGACTAGTTAGTAAATTTGCTTCTTTCTATGTATATATATTTAAGGTAATTTTTAAGTAGATAAGCTTTTAAATCTTAAGTTTCCAGGATCCCATAAAATGACTTTCATGATCTATAAGTCATGTTTGCTCTAATTTAAGCTCCTTGCTTCTTGCCCTATGCCCTGTGGGCATGAAGAACCCTTGTTACAACAACCTTTTACATAGTTGAAGACTGCTATCATATCTTTTCTCAGTCTTCTCTTTTTTAGACTAAACAAACCAAGTTCTTTCAGTGGAACATGCTTCCTAGACTTCTGATCCCATTTTTTAAGCTCCTCTGTACTTTCTCCAGTTGATCCACCTCTTTTGTGATTAAGTTATTATAAAAAATGACATGCACAGGTATAAAGAAAATAATTCAAAAATATGAGTACTTATGAGAGAATTCTGATCATTTGATCATAGAGGGTAAGAAAAGTCTCCTGGACTTATAAAGTCATAGCTACCCAGTCTTGATGAACTAAGGTAATTTTTGAATTTTCTACTGGATTTGGAAGAGATCTCTATTTCAGCAATTACATGTTCTCATTGAACATGTGTCCAATTTATGAAAATGAAAGTAATTTTTAGATTAATAATAGATGTAAAAAACATGCATTTACCTTGCAGATGCTAATAATTTTAAATATGTTGTGATCAGATAGCTAGGAATGAATGCTACTTACATGCAGGTATATTTATAGAAAGATTCGTGGACTAAATATTATTGTATATATTTTTGAGTTATTATATATACTGCATCATATATATGCTCTGCATTCCTAAAATAAAAGGGAAAAAATTCCTGTGCATCACATGATCAAACACTGTTGAGGTTCACATGAACAAAAATAAACCAAAATGCTTTAAGCAAAGATTTTTGTTGTTTCAGCAAAGATAACTCTGCTACTTTGTTCTTTGCTAACCTGTATTTCTCAATACATTTGTAGACGCAGAGATGATAATTTCTGTATTTCTCGTCAGAGATTTCATAGGAGAATTGCTGTAATGAACCTTGATGTTCCTGTCAGACTGCATACAAACTTCCTACATTGTTCTTAATAGAACCACAGGAAAAAGTAAGGACAGACATGAAGAGGCTGTATGTGGTAATGAATTACCTCTGTTATCCTCAGTGATATCAGAGGTATCTATATTTACCTGCTTTAGTATATACTGAAATTTTATGAAAACTCATATTTGCATTGGAACTTACCTGAGGTGAAAATAGATAGCTTCACTTTTATCCAGGCTATCTTGAATGTTCCTTTTTGTGAGTTTTAAATGCTTTTCATTGTTGTCAAGTAGTTAAAGCTTAAAGAGGTAACCTGAATTAGAAACTGTGTGTGCAAGTTTTCAGTTTTGTTTAAACAACAGATGGTTTGTGGAAAACCTGAACTGCCTCCTGAAATGGCCTATGTCAGTCTACTTTGATGGTTTATGTCCCGAAAGTGATTTGGGACCTTGTTTTGAGAAACCTCAGTGCAAAGTGATATTAATGTACAATCTTTCATGGGAGAGAAAAGTCACAGGACACCAAGGATACCACGTTGCTTGGTGATAGAAGAGTGCTTTACTCTTCACCTAGCATATGTAGCCTTCAGAAGAGTACTTGGTTGAGGGACTTGATTTCAGAAGCATAACAAGGAGCCACACCACAGCCCTTCTCTCCTAAAATATTTTTGAATTTTAAGACCAAGAAGGGTCATTAGATCAATAATTCTGTTCTTCTCTCAATATAAACTTTATATGCTGTCCATCTACAATGCTCAGTAACTTGATGGAGTTAAGTATTTTAGATGCCCAGACTCAAGATGCCCATGGGCTCAAGTGTTTTCTTACAAATATGGCTTATTCTGAGTTGTCCGCCCATATGCTAAAAATTTACCAAATTAATGTGTTCTACTAAAAGTTATGTGTCTTACTTTGGCTTTTACATCACTTTCATGAACCAGTCTTAGTAACTACTTTCTCCTGTGGAAAGTTCTTAAAAATTAGGCCATCAAGCCATCAAGTCACCTTGATATCTTAAGTGAACTAAAATGTTTCAGTCGCCTGCTGTATATATTTCTGTCTTCTGAGTCCATTATTTTTTCACCTCTAGTCATTACCCCACACCCACAACAGCCTCTCTAAAATTTGGATGTCAGAATTGGAAGATGTATTTCAACATGAGCCTTACAAATGCCATTTACAAATTAAAAATCCCCTTGTGACTCACACATTCTTTCCCCCTTCTAATTCCCTTGGTTTTTGGATAGCCACCAAGCCCTGTGAGACAGGAAGGAATTACTCATAGCACCTCTGACAAGCATCCAGCAAATGCCTACTTATGGGTGTCTGCAAACCCCCAGAGGGAGCACAAGGGATTCAGGACAAACCAGGGGTAAATCCTTACATTAGAGAGTATCTTGATCCCAGAATTGCTCAAGCATTTTAGAAAATCCCAATTCTATTTCCCCTTCATAAGCCCTTCTGATGTTTTTCCTCTTCTCTGCTTTTGTTTACAGCTTTTGCTCATATCTGGGATATTTCACATATAGTCAGTTAAAAATTACTCCATGATGGGAGGCATTACCAGAACAGGTAATGGCTTCTGAGAATGGATGAACAGCTGATCAGTTCCAGAGGCCTGCCTTTAATGTCTTGATCAGAGATATAATGGTCTTCAAAGTACAGGAATTCTTGAAGCTGAGAAGAATTTTACCTGTGTGCCTTGAACCTGGATTTTAATTAGCAGTTATGCCTTCTGACCATCAAGCAGAAGAATTTTGGCAGTAGTCTTTGAGTGTTATCAATTGTTTTTATTTGACAGTGATAGAGCTGTACTTTGTTGAAAGTATGTAATGTTGAGAGGGGTGGTAATGTATATGTATTTTCCTCTTTGAGAAAACTTTACTGGTAAAACATGCTAGTAAGTGAGTAATAGGTTTCGAAGGTAGGTAATGCTGAAGTGCAGAAATTGCAGTAGTGTCGATTTGGGAGGCTTCTGAGCTCTTCCCTTTAATTTTCCATTCTTGTCTTCTGTTTTGATGGTGTTTTTGTAATCTGTTTTATAACAGCTCAGGTCCTGCAGCCAAGAAGGCAGAAACTCCCTAATAAGATTGCTTGTACACTGGTTCCATGAGCTGTCAGCCAAACTACAGAACGTGAACCTGACTGGGACTAGCAGAGTAAATCACAGCCAGTCAACAGGGAGCTGCAGATGGGCATCTGGCCTCAGGGTGGAAAACACATGGTTCCAGTTGGAGATAGGTGTTAGAAATATGAAGGCTGGAAAAGGTAGATTTGGAAAGTCTACCTGAGTTTAGCTGTCATTGAGACTGTTCTAAGTGCTGGTGGTTAGCCAGGTTCTTCTGAAA